GTGTCATCGTCTCAGGGTGCTCCTGTGAGCACTGCTGCAGTTTCCACATCTGACAGGGATAACCATGTGTATAAGAAACTATTTAAACGAAACAAGAAAAACAAAAAAATAGAAGTTAAACAGCATCGATTGCTCAGTTCAGAAGTATATCAACAGTCCTCTCAGCTTCTTGGTGAGGGAACTGCTGGGCCACCTGGCTGCAGCTTCCCTCCTGCTATACGTCCTCCAGAGCTCTCTGCTGCCACTGACCCCAGGAGCACTGCTGCAGCCTGCCAGGGGCAACCCAGGAATTGGGATGATGCAACATATGCTTTCTGCAGAAGAGCATGGAAAGCAGTCACTGTGGACCCAGCCCGATCTCCTGAGAGACAGTGAGGAGAAATTTTGAGGGGAAAGACCCTGGCAGACCATGCTTTTTGCGTGTGCATTTAGCTGCAGGCAAGCAAAGAAGACACTGTTAATGTAGATGTAAAAATTCATTGCTTGTCTAATTAACGTCTTAACCTAACCAGAATACAACAGCTTATTTAGTGCAGTTATTATATAGGCACCTATAATCTAAATGACTTAATTATTGATAGGAATTAGCAAAACCTAAAATGGTTATATACATGTGTCCCAGAGCTGTACCATGCTTTGGTGATGCTCCCCTGTCCTATGTAACGTTAAGGGAAGCCATCAGCTTCTCAAATCCTTTACCTGGAGAAGTATGATGATGGCAGTGTATGTTGGGGGGGAGGGGATGGTCTTCCTCCACGGTCTTGAGTTTGCTCAGAATTACTTCTCTGTGTGTCAACCCTGTATTTCTTAATGGGTACAGTCTTTACTCTGCTGTTTGCCCACAAGCTTATGTACACCATGATTCCTTCTCCTTATGCAATATGATTTCTTTTAAGGGGGAGATCCACGCAATTGGACAAATAATGCGAAGCTTAAACTAAAACACATTTGGGAATAATACAGTTAAAACAAACCCCAAACCCCAGGGTAGCAAGAGGCTTTTGAACATTCAGTTATTCTGCTGTTGCAGCTAGGAGAGGCTAGACAATGAACCTCTGCTCCTTGGGAAAATCGTAGGCACAGAAAAGGCTCTTAAATAATTTTGAAAATGCAATTCAAAATCATCCTAGAGCAGCTATTTATTGTTACAGAGTTTGAGGTCTAGCACTAGCATCGTCAACAGCAATTTGGCTGGGCTACAAGGCTGCAAGCAGCGTGAAGAGTTGCTGTGACAGCCCTGTGGTCTCCAGCAGTCCTGTGCTGTCCAGGACAGTGCCTCTGGGGAACGGGGCTGCCCAGGGGGGCAGAGGTAGCGTTCACGATGCTACTGTACCTTCCCATCAGTGGTGGGAGCAAGCACTGACCACAGTGCAGGGAAATGACTCGGACCTCAGGGTTGTACGGATACACCACTATATGGTGCCGGGTAGGGCCTCATGCCATACTTGATGTCCATGGAGAAACAATGACCAGGGCAATCAACTAATCTGCAGACCTGTCTAAAGCTGTAGCCACAAAGCTGGGTAGGTCTCACAGATGAGCAGTACCAGTGGGTGGGTGTAGCTGAGCCTCTCGGGGCTTCCCAAGTGTGAGCAATCTTATGTTCTCATTTGTAAGAGCTAACTGGGCAGGATATTTATCTCTCACTTAACAGTTTACATCTCTTACATCAGTTTTTGCTCTGTCCTTTAGGACTGCAGTCCCACAGTACTGTCCCAGCCTGTTGCGTTGTTGGTTTTTTGCATTGCTTGTAGGGTACGTGTTCTAGGAGTCCTACCACATTGGTAAAGTGGCCTCAGCGATCCACTCCTTCCCCAGCCATCACCTTCCCATGAAGGGCTGTGAATCAGCATTGCCTCAAACGAGGAGAATTTAGTCAGAGGAAAACAGAGAAATGTGGCTCAAATTCTGTCCTTGTTACATAAACCCCCTTGCTGAACATCTGGAGAACATCTGAAGTTTAACAAAGCAGGCCCGCAGGCAGAGGCATTTTTGACCTTCCCTGTAATGGAAGCATAAAAATGGAGACTGGAAAGAGGGGAGTAAATATAACCAGAAATGAAAGACAAAATGGGTCCAGCATATCGGGGCTGACTTTGGCCCGAACACCCGACAAGGGCTCCTGTGATCCTGCCTGGACAGTGCACAAGCGTGCGGAGAGACAAGGCAACAAGCCTAAGCACAAGGCATTGGGCACTGCTGAAAAATCCCCGCTGGTCCCTCTCTTCTGGGGAAGCTCTTCGCCAGGCTCTGTTTAAAACTGTGTTTCTTCTGGGCAAACTTGAATTTATAGGGAATGTTTAGATTTTTCTCATGGTAAAACTGACAAACACTCCAGAACTGAGGTTTGGAAACCGACAGTTTTTGCTGGTTTGGGATTTTCTTCCCCTTTCAGTAAAGGGAAAAAACAAGGGCATGGTTGAGGTGGGGGGAAAGTGCACAGAAGCAGGAAAAATCCTTCCTGCCACCTGGTTTTTCAGCAAAAAGCTGTAGACCAGCCCAAAGGCAGAGAGACCTTTCTCCAGGTGTCTTTTGCATCCCTGCATTTGACATGGCCTGGCTGGGGTGTGAGGGTCATACCCCTGGAAGGGTGCAGGAGCTGTGCGGGGGGGGGGCAGCCCCCTTTTCCCACCCCCACTTGCTGGCAGCAGTGCATCCCGCCAGCCGGGCAGCCCTAGCAGTAGGCGTGTAACCCAGGGGCTTGTCCGTATCATGTTCCCTTCCTTCATGGATGATTCACACCAAGGACTGCAGCGGGCCATTGAGAAATATTTCTTTAGCTGTAACAATAACCACCTTTATTAGGGCAGACGTGAAGGCATTTTTTCCTAACTTTCCATGGAGAGGAGAGTGGGACATCCGATACAAACTGCAGCCAACCACAGAACCTCCCCAGAGGTGCTCCTCAGACTTTCCAGCTGTGAGTGAGGTGTCCCCGGCGCTGCAGGACAGCCAGGGAGCCCAACAAGCATCTCAACTGAGATGCTTGGCCAGGAGAGAGCATGACTAAGAGGAGGACATGAGACAAGGGGGAAGCAAGGCAGTGCCTCTCCATTACAGAAATAGGACATGAATGTGGTCCACTGTCTGGGGAACAAGTGACTGTGCATGCATCCATAGTGAAAGGTTGCAACAAGCCCCTCAGATATACAGGTATGACCTGGGAGCTTCCCCAGAGATAGGCACCCTTTAGAGCTGTCTTAGGATGTAAAAGAAATGTTTGGGGAGCACTGAGCCTGGCAAAGCTGGATGAGATGTTCGATATCTCCACCACTAGCCCTGTCTGCAGAGCAGCATCCCCACATACCCGGGAAATGAGGTACTAAGGAGAGATGCTGAACATAAGCAGAAAGCAAATGCAGCTTACCTCTTCACCTGATGATCACCATCCCTCTGCACCTGGTCTTCTGGAAACAACAGTGCCTACCTGTGTAGGGTTTTTTTTGCAACCAGAAGGCAAACAGAAGCTGCGCAAGCATTTCCCATCCTTTGAGAGCTTGGTGCTCTTCTCATGAAATTTTTATGCACCATTTAATAGATGAAGAGAATTCACAGTACTTCTCAAATCCATGGCATTCTATAATAGCCAGATTTGCAATGCAAAACCAATAGATCTCTTTTCTTCTATCCCTTACAGTTTTATGTGAGAAGTTCTGCTGGAATCCTCCCAGATCCCAGCAGCCTCTATTTTACTGTGTGACTTTTTGAACATTCGGAGCCCTTCAAATTCAAGTCAGACAAACTTCCAACAAGATTGTGGAAAACAATTTATTTGACACATTTCTGAAGTGGACACTTTTAGTAAAACACAGGCATAAAATAAAACTAACTTGTACAATGGGATTTCGGATACAAAGTAAAAGAGTTTGGGATGCCGATACCTGGCAATCACTGTTGCTTTCTCAGAAGCGCATGAATTCATAGCAAGAGCACCAATGGAAGCGCTGAAACAAAATTTCACCCAGCCAAACCACACCTTCAGCGTGGTCCTGGAAACAACTGTGTAAACACCAAGGGCCCGCATCACCCACGTAGTGATAGCACCTTTGTCAGTATATCTGTAGGGTGTGAGTCAAAGACCCTGGCAGATAATGGCAGCTTTTCCCTTGACTTTGCTGGGCTGTGGATGAGGCCCTAATTCAATATAAAGTACAGTTAGTGGGTTTCCCTTGGGCCCAGGTGCCTAAATCCTAGATGGTCCTATAGAAACTGTACCCCCAGAGAGCTCACTGGGAATTAGACAGCTTGGCACTTTTGAAAAAAAAAAATATAAAAAAAAATCCCACTAACTGGGCTCAGAGAGATTTTCCAGAATGGAGCTTGGACCACAACACAAGTCATCAGGTTATTCATGAGGTTCCTGGTTTCACTGTAGGACCATGAGATCAGTTAGTGAAGGAGTGCAGTTAGGTAGCTTCTTCTAGGGTTCCCCCCCTCTCCAATGGCTACTGTCCACCTTTCGTTTGGTCGGTGCCCAGCCTCCCTGCCCTGAATGGGAGTGTCAGCGCTGAGGGATGCTCCGTCACCCATCCCCACCCCAGCCCTGGGAAGTCAGTGGCCCATCCCATGGCACTGGAGGCCAGAGATGCTTCCACCTGGCTTGGGTAATGCAGTCCAGCCCTCCCCCCCAGGCATGGGAGATATGAACAAAACCTGCCAGGCATGACAACGATCCCTTCTCAAAACTTGCTGAAGTGTTGAACGTTTCACTTGAAGCACAGCATTGGGTTAGGACCATTGTGAGCTGGGCAAGTGCTCAACTGATGTATGAAAGAAAGAAGCAAATGAACAAATAGACCTGTATCTGGAAAGAGCATGATCAGCCTTATGAAACCAGGCTAGTCCTTAGTGGTACAAAATTCCTCATCCTGATTCTTTCTTGGCAAAAACCAGTGGGATGAGGTTGCTATTGGTGTTGTGGCGGCTTTCTGCTAGGTGTGCTTGTGTTTGCCTGCTGTGGGGAGGGAGAGGCAGTCATGGGCAGGGAGGGAAGTTTGAGGCTAACAGAGTAGAGATGCAGATGATGAAGCAGGGGGAGAAGGAAAGGGACTATGCACAGCCATGCTGTGGCACTATGGCTATCTGCATAGATGCAAATTCCTTAGGTTGGTCAAGAATACTGTTAATTTTTTTTGTTTTGTTGGTTTTCATTTTTAGGCGAGACAGAAGCACGCATGGCCTTGGCAGAAACCCACCCAGATGCTCAGTCAACAGCTATCTTCCTGGAGACAGTTTGGTAGAAGACGCCACGCAGCAGAGAGGTATAGTCGGGCACACGGAAGAGGTGGCGTTCCCCGTAGACCACATCGTAATCTGCGCTCTTCCCTGTGACCAGGACACGGATGTTGGGCTCGTTAGCTTGGCTGCCCACTGCCAGCACGTAGATCTCGATGCCAACCTGCTGAGCTTCCTGCACAGCCCCCTCAATGGCCCTCGCGGTGATCCCTTGAGAGTTGCCATCAGAAAACACCAGCACCCTCTTCTTCGCTCCAGGACGGGAGGACCGCTGGTAGAGCCCTGTGACATACCGCAGAGCAGCGTTGACATCCGTGGCATCGTTAATGAATTCCATGTTGTCGATGGCTTTGGCAATGACTGTGTAGTTGTACTGGAACTGAGCTTCCACTTTCTGCTGGTTCCTGCCACTGTACTGGACCACTGAGACACGCACGGAATCGTCGGCAGGGACCCGCTCCGCCAGCCGCTTCACGAACTTCTTGGTGGTCTCGAAGTTCTTGCTCCCCACGCTGGTGGAGCTGTCCACCAGCAGCGTGATGTCTGCCAGCCCAGCGAAGGTGACTGCAAGGGGAAAGGCCCAGGGCTTGTTACGCTGCATTTCTCCTCCTGCCTCTTCCATGGAAAGCTGGTGAAGTCACCTGCTGTCTCGCAGGCTTCCTGCCTTGTCAGACTTGGGAAATCCCCACTCTCTGGGTATTTGCTAGTTTGGTTTCCCCTACCCCAGTGCTGTCCTACACTTATCCTTTTACCCTTCCATTCCTTCTTTTATTTGGTTTACAACAGGCTGCATTCCCAGGTACATATCTTGCTTAGATAATCTGGTGACTCTTGTTGCTTAAACAGTGCTGCCCTTGCATGTCTGGGGAACCACTTCATCTCCCGAGGCTGGCTTCTTTCCATGATGAGTCTGAGGATTGTATACGCTTCTGACTTGGAGGTGTACCCCACTAAATTCCTCCCTGTACTCACTTTTCAAGCACCTTTCTCAAATATCCCTGCCACAGTGCTGATTTTTCCTCGTGCTCCCACCACGACATAGCAATTGATCGCATTACCTGCCTCAGCTAACGCCTGTGAGGGCTAAAATCTGGCACAGCTTCCTCTCTAGGTTTGAGGTGCCAGAAGAGCAACTGTCTAGGCTTTTCCCCCAGGTGCTTTGGGCTGGCGTGTGTGTGAGAGACCCTGTGAGCATCTGACAAGGCTTGCTGACTTCTCCAGCCCAGGAGCCTCCCTGTTGCGAGAGGTCTCCAAGCTATGCATTCCCACAAGCACAAACTCCCACTTCCCCCACCACAGCACCCACAACCCCTTCTTGTGGCAAGAGGAGTCAATACTCACTTGGGCACGTGTAGTCTGGACATTTCTTCTCTGTTAGGAAAATTAGAAAGAGTAACGTCACCAGCTCGCCCAGGAAAACCACTTCTCTTATAGCTTCCCACGGAGCCACAGAAGGGACAAACGCTCACCTCAGCCACATTGCGCAAAGCGCTGTGCAAAGGCTATACCAGAAAGCGCAGAGGTGTCTGCTTGAAAAATGCTGTGGACAGAAATGTCCTGCAGCAGGAGAGGACCTGTACCCAGCTACAAAGTGTTCTGAGACATGAGATATCCTTGTGCCTTATTTAACTAAACCTTGAAAGCTGTTCTCTTCCCTCAATGCCTGCTTAAGAGCATGACTGGGGGAAGGCAAGGGAGGGCAGCTTGCATTCCTCACCCTTTGGCTGAGGCGATCCTCACTACCTTATTGCCTCCAGCCACAACCTTTCACCCACCTTGGCAGACATACGACGTGATGTTTTGCAGGAAGGTGTCATCCAGGAGCTCGGCATAGTTGTCCCTTTGAATAGACAGTCCTGGCCTGGTCGGTCTGCTTAAACAAGCGATGTCATTCAGGTGATCTGGATTTGGAGGGTTCCGGAAAATGTCGCCTATCCCAAGGGAAACCACCTGCAGGGAAGTTAGAGTCCATCACCGGGTGCATTCATCATGTAATGCATTCATAAACTTGAATGCCTGTCACTTTGTGAGGGTGCTTCTAGTGACGCGTGTCCCTCCTGCCCTAGCCTTGGGTAGCAAAAACATGGAGACCTCCAGAGAGCCCGCACTACCCTGATGCACAGCTGCTGTGTGGCAGTTCCCTGCAGGCAAGGTGCTTCCCCTGTGTCCTTACCGGGGTGACATCGCACAGAGAGTTGAGCGGGGTAGGGTCCCGCAGCGTGTCAGAGCGTCCGTCCGTGATGACGATGGCAACGCGCTTGTCAGAGGTGAATCTTCGCAGCAGGTTGTCCTTGGTGAACTGCAGGGCTTCTCCAGTGTAGGTACCCCCAGCTATCCATTTCAGATTCTTGACTGCCCTGCAAGCACAGACACCAGTGAGCCTGCAAGCCCTGCCCCATGAATGCTGAAGGAGCCCCTGGGAACACCTATCTCTGACATGCTTGCAAGGCAGGGCAATATCCCTGCATTGGCTTTAGGTGGAATACTGGCAAATTCCTTGGCCTCAGCACCATCTACAATGCCACCAACCGCTACTTTCCACTAAAGAACATTTAGCATCCTTGCAACTGCAGGAGTTGCTGGCCTGGAGATGGAGGATGGGAGGTGAGTAGGTGTCCCTGGGTCAGGTCTCTGCATGATGTGCTGAGACCCCACAGACTCACTGTTTGAGCGCCCCGATGTTGTCTATGTTGGCATCCCCCATGGCCACCAGCTCCTGTGTATTGTCATGGCTGTACTGCACAACGCCCACACGGGACTCCCCAGCTTCAAACTGTTGGAAAAAACAGAAGTCAGTTAGGGTTGGATACCTCAGGGAGTCCTGAAGAGCTCAGAAATCCTGAGCTTGTTTGTACCAAATGCCTTCACAGCAGGCTCTGCTGCCTCTCCTCTGCCTTATTCCAGGCAGAAAGAGCTCCAACAGGAGTGGATGCACGTGGGGACTAATTCAGTGAGCCAGTCAGTGAAACAAGACCCAAACCCAGGTTTCCCAGCTCAGTGGTCTCAACACAAGCCATTGGCCATGGAGGGTGGCTAGGAATAGATCATTTTTCAAAACTTCTGTTTTTCTTCCAACACCGTGTTTTTGCTGCCCAGCTCTAGCCTTTCTGCTTGTTGCTGGCTCTTTGCCAGCCAAAGAGACCCATGCATGCACACGTAAGTGTCCAATGGCAGGTTGTTGTGGCTTTACAGCCCACATGCTACAGATATGTCTGGTTATACCTTAAGGAAAGACTGGATCCCAAACATCCCTTCCAAATCACAGAGGTAAACGAAATTTCCCACTCACAGCAGGTTACCAGGGAAGAGTTAGGAGAGTAAGCATTTGTATCCCTCTTCAGACTGAAAGACTCACAATATCGCTGTTTTGTGTTGCAAAGGTCCTTTATAGTAGTGTGCTTAACTGGTAACCTAAACCCAAGCTTGGGGGCAGACAAGGGTGCCTGGGGGGCTGGCCATCAGGGAGCTAGGGGAAGTTGCAACACACCTCATGTGTTATCTACTCCAGCCATCCGAAATGCTCATCAGGACAAGGAAGAGACTGAGAGAATGATTGATCAGGTGAATGCTTTATGAGCCATCTGCTCTGGGACATGGAGGAAGAGTTCACAGCCACAGCAGGCAGAGTCCCTTTGCCAGAAAGAGTGAAAATATCTATATTTTGGGACAACAAACTGCTGTCTCGTCTCCATTGCTTTATGAATCTGGGAGGAATCAAGACTCACCCCAGATACACACTTGAAGCTAAGCCTTGTGGAGGCTCTTTGGAGTGGAGGCATCTCCCCATTTTTCTGCTTGCAGTGAAAAATAAATGAGTACACACAAGTGCATCCCGGCACTTGGTGGAAATCTCACCTTCACACGCTCGTCCTTGCTCAGGCGGTCGATGACTTTGATGATGAAGTCCTTGGCAATCTGGAAGTTCTGCAGGCCGATGCTCTCCGAGCTGTCCAACACGAAGAGGAGGTCGACGGGACCGCAGGTGCACTCTGCAGCAAGGCACAGGGGTGGAGGGGCTTGTGTTTTCTATCTCAGCAGCTCGCTCAGAGCAGCACATTTTGCAGGGAGGCATACCAAAGCAAGCGTTTGATGTCTGCTGTTAGTCCTGACCAGGCGGGCCCTATCTACCCGCAAAGCATGATGTAAAATCAAGCGGCAAAATAGCTGCATGGGAGACTTGAGAGTCAGTTTACTAATTTTTCCATTTGCATTTTGCTCAGCGCCCTTTATAAGACACGTAGCATTTCCAAGCTGTGAGTACCCTTAAAAGACCCAGTAATTATTCCAAAACCCATTTCCTCATAAGCCTTCTCACTTCTTCCATTCACCCAGCCCAGGAGGACAGGGGTGACATTGGTGGGCTGGAGGAGCCTGACTCAGCTTGCTCCCCTCTTTCCCGTGGCTGAAGGACATCATGTGCCCTTGGCTCTTCCTTCAAGCTTTTGGACTGCAAACCCAACCCATTGGGACAGCATCAGGGAAAAAATTCAGCACATTTCTCTGCAGACCAGCACAGGGTTTGGAAGGAGGAGGACAGAGCTGGATCCACAGCATACCCTGAACTGACGTTCCTTTCAACTGCAAAAAGGGTGGAGAAAATCCGCCTGCAGTTTGCTGGCACAGGGCACCTCGACAACAGTTTTCCAGTC